GAACATTTTCCTGTTCTGGCCGAATGTGATCGGTAAGTCACGGCGCTGACTTGCAATGAGCTTCTTTTTGTGGTTTTGTCAAGTCCATATCGATTCTAACCGTGCCTGCTTTGCTTTAGGCTACTGCCGTATCGTCCTGGCCATCGCCTCGCTCTACTACATGCCGCTACATCCTCGCACCTGCTCACTACTTTACAGTGTCTCGTGCCTCCTGGATGCTCTCGATGGCTATGCCGCACGCTACTTTGAGCAGTCCACGCGCTTCGGTGCTGTGCTCGACATGGTGACCGACCGCTGCACTACCTCCTGCCTGCTCGTCTTCCTGTCGACTGCCTTCCCCCGCTGGGCCATCGTCTTCCAGGGCCTCGTGTCGCTCGACCTTGCTAGTCACTACATGCACATGTACGCCACTCTCGCTATGGGTGGCTCCGATACGAGCCACAAGTCCGTCGACCGGTCGCGGAGCTGGCTCCTCAACTTGTACTACACCAACAAGACGGTCCTCTTCGTCTTCTGCGCCCTCAACGAGCTCTTTTTCATTGCGCTTTACCTGCTCTCGTTCTCGTCCCCCATCCTCCAGCCCTCGCTGCTAAAGCCGATTGACCCGGTGCTGGCGGCCGGCGGCCTGCACGCAGGCGCGCAGATCAACTCGTCCATCCTGCGCCAGATCTTTGCGAACCCGCACAGCGCAGCGGCGCTGGAGATGGCCCGGGCCAACAAGATGGACTCGTTCTGGCCGTGGGTCTTGGCAGGCGTCAGCTTCCCCATCATGGCCGGCAAGCAGATCCTCAACGTGATCCAGCTGGTCAAGGCAAGCAAGTGGCTCGCGGAGGGCGACGTGCAGGCCCGCCGCGCTGCCGGTCTTCCCCGCCGCCGGTAAAATGCTGCCAGCAGAGAAACGACAATCCGGTGCTACTGTCGTCTGACAGGCCTATCCCATCGTTCACCACCTTTGACATATTCTTGTTTGTAATCGACGCATAGCATTAAGCTCCCCCTACAGTCTGCTTGCACCTACCTTCACTTTTTTGGTTCTTCACATTTCGTTTCAACTCATTGCACCCGCTCCTCCTATTCGACTTCTTTGGACTTCTTTGGAATCTTTGACCAACAAGGCCTTTAACAAAGTTAACGACATATCACCTTTTAAAAAATCGGGGGGTGCTCTTTGCTCTTCTCGTTTCATCTTTTACTTCGCCTTATAATTATGTTCTTCACTCCTTTCGTTTATTATTTATTATTGCATTCTCTTACACACTACCCTACATTATTTGTCTCCCTTTTCATTTTTATTTATTCTCTGTATTTTTTTGCATCGGACCTTCTTGTCCTCGACACTGCACAGATCCAAGGGGTGGGGAAAGGGGTGGCGTTCTTACATATTTTTTTGTGTATTTTGTTTATTCTTATTGTTATTTTGGTTGTTCTCCATGGAGAGGATATGCCAGCAGACTGGGAAGAATGGCAATAGTTCCGGCTGTTTCCTACTTGTCTTGCAATTTTTTTGTTGTCACGCCACAGAGTGATTCCTGGGAAATAGTATATAGATCTGGGAGCAACGAGATTACTTTTGGACTGCTTTTTATTTACTCGTCTTGTGTTGTATTCTTTACTCGAACCACGCCTTTCAAGTGTTGCTTGCGTTTTGCGGGTCTCAACACTGGCCGATGCTGTCGGACTAGTTTCGCGTCCGCTTTGACAACACGACAGCCACCTAAACGCCACTGATGCAAGTAAAGACGAAACTTGCCAACGATCACCTGGTGTGAATCCGGGACGATCAGAGACCGTTTAGCAGGTCGATATCGTGTTTACAACGCGCGAGAAATAAGGGTCTATTCTTGTGCCAGTCTGTTCGTAAGTGTTGTGATGCCAACTTCGTATCCAACAATGTTTCCAAAACCAAATCTATATGTTATACAGGTCGCGTTTTCATCCTGCACCGTACTCAGTATCAGTTCTCTGGCGTCCAGTTCCACCGTCGGGCCGTAAAAAGCTGTCTTGCCATGCGATCAGCAGCTATACTTCCCTCGTATCGTAAACGCTGGTCACCGGCCAAGGATCGCGTGAACCGGAACACTTGGGGGGTGTACTGGTCCGTCTTGGCCGTCACGGCAGACCCCGACGCAGGCTTCCCAAAGGACGGTGTCCTATCATCATTGCCGTCAGTGCCATCCCCGTCGATATCCGAGTCGTCGCCGTCCTCCGCGCAACCGTCGCCGTCGAGCAAACCCGCGGCTTCAGCGGCCGCCAGCCAAGACGCCTTTCCGTGACGAACCGCCATCCAGTCATGCCGGTGCAGCCCCACGGCACTCGCCGCGAGCATCGTCTGGATGTACTCGAGGATGGGCAGGATGCGCGTTCGGAGGCCGCAATTCACGTGGTGCTTGTCGAGCTGGTAGGCCGGACACTGCTTAAGCGTTGAGAGGATGTGGTGCACGTCAACGGCAGCGTAGTCGGCAGGAGACAGACACGGCTGTTGCGTGCGACCTTTGCTCATGACCGTCGACGAAAAGTCCTGCAGGAAGAGCAGATCTTTGTGGAACAAAAACTTGACAATCTCGCCGAGCTGAAACGAGTCGCACGCCGCACTCGACTCGTAGCCCATCTTGCACTGCCGCCGGTTGCGCGACGTGTAGAGCGCCAAAAAGTGCCGCGGTACAGATGCGATGCAGTTGACAATGCATGCCCGCCGGAACTGCAGCTCGCTCTCCAGACCGTCGGGCAGATCCCACCAGGCTGGCAGCTCCTGGCCACGATGGGAGGTGTCCCTACCGTTGCCGTTGCCATTGGCGAGCTCCGCGCTGTCGTCCTCTTCCTCGCCAGACATTGCTGCCGTCCACCGCGCTGAGCCGTACAGGATGAGCTCCCGTGTGCCGGCATGAAATCGCAAGGGCTGGTCAAGCAGCCACGCCATAAAGATCTTCTGCCGGATGGCTTCCTCATTGGTCATACCAGGAAGGCCGCCACCACCAGATCCGCTTCCGACGCCGAGGCCACCGTCACTCCGTGTTGAGCGGACAATTGGCTGCGGAAAGCGCAGCCGCAGTGCACGCACGTACGCAGCCGCTGCATCCGTGCAGGCGAACCTGTCTGCCTGCAGGGCTAGAGTAGCCAGCTCAAGAAGTGTTGGGGGCGTCTTGGCAGACCAGCGTGTCCCGGGCAGGAGGACAGGATGTGTTTGCCGTACCGAGCTGTTGTTCTGCGTGGCCGTGTCTGAGTTGGCCCCTTTTCGCGACGGCACAGTCCTTCCCGACAGCGGGTTGGTTTTAGCGGGCCTTCCTTTTGGTGCAGCTGCTGCCGTCCGGGACGCTCCATTGGATTTCGCTTTCAATTTCGAATTCGACTGTGGGCTTGCAGCCTTGTCTGCTTGGTCTCCATTGTCGCTATTCATATTAACAGCCACTGGTGCGACTGTGCCGTCCCAGTGCAGGATCCGCAAGAGCTCGGCAAACACAAGCTCACGTCCGGCGGTACGGCTGCCCTCGTCGTCGTCGTCGATGTGGACCCGTGGCAGACGAGTCACGTCCGCATCGGCTGGTTTGACGTCGGCGAGGGCCAACGCTGCGAGTCCAGCCTCGACTGTCCGCGCTTCTTTGAAACGTGTGTCACCCAGCAGGTTTGCAAAGTAGCGCGAGTTCTTTTTCAGGGCCGACGACTCAACCCGGAATGCCATTGGAAGTTTTGGCTTCAACGCAGACGTGACGTCAGTGGTCGCGGTCGCCGGAGTAAACATCCTGTTTGCCTTCTTGCGGGTCGCTCGCAGCGTCTCTCTAGACGTCTCAAAGAGCACGTCAAGCACGACATCGCCGCGCGGGGAGATGGTGACTATGCCATCAATGCTGCTACCGGTGCCATTGCTCCCCGTCGTCGCCTTCACCGCATTGTTCACGGCCGCTGTTTGTTTGCCACCGTCTGCCACAGCCGCCTCGGACGGCTCGTCATCCATCGCTTTGGGAGGTATCCCAGCAGCTGGTTTCTCATCTGTGTAGAGGGCGAGCGCAACGAGAAGGGTGTAGAGGAGTAAATGTGGGCTTTCTGAGCCTGAGACGCAAACCCGTTGAGATTGTTGAGAAAGAGTGAGGTTGAGGCTGCAGACTAGTGTGGAAGTTGAAGCTGCCAAGGTTGTAGCGATTTGATGGCGAGCCTTGTCGAGACGGCGCTTTCAGGCAGCAAGCTACTATGCCAGGGCTGCGACTTCCCCCATCGGATGCGCTAAAACGTCCCTCTCAGAAATGACAATGGACGTGCGGCAAGTGCTGTCCCCTCCCACTTTCCCCAAGTTTGCCTGTTCCTGGGACAGGGTTACTGGCAGGGAAGGTGCTACTGTCGGGCGCGGGCTGCGAATCCTTCTCCGGAATAGTTCCTCCCGACCGCCAACATCGCTCCTTCTCTCTTGCCCCTAGGTTCGCGACCAGTCTTTTTCTTTTCCTTTTGGGAAGGCGCATTCACTTCCCCCTTTTGCAATGTTTCACGACATCCTCCATTTTCACCTTCATTCGTTTTCCTCTGTCAAACTGCAACTTGCATCCGCCCGCAACCCCTTCTCCTTGGTGGCGGCGAAGGGGTATTTCTGCATGCCGCCCTGTGCATTTCGTTCGTCGGCTGCGGGAACACAACCGCGGTCGGGTATAGCCACGTCGTCGGAATCGACTTGACACCAGCTGAGCGCTTTTCCTCAGTCGCTCAGCTGTATTTCGCCTGCATCTCACCTTAATCTCAGCTCCTCTTACGTCTCTCGTCTACGTCTGCATTCGCTCTTTACTTTACATTCTCTTTTGTCCGTTCTTCGTGCCCTCGTTCCGGCAAAGCTGCGCTGTGCAACCACACACCGGCCCAGAGGAACATCTACTCTCTTTTCCTCCTCGATCGCCACCTTTCTTTCCCAGTAAGGTACCGTTATATCGCCAATTGGCCGCCCTGGACCTCCGGTCGCCTGTCAGTGTCACCAAGAAGAACGCTGAAGCTGCCTCTGAAGCTTCCGGGAAAGGTGCCTTGCCATGGCGCCGCCAATAGATTACCGCCTGGCCAGGGCGAGCGCATCCGGTCGACAGCTAGCTGTCCTCTCACCCCAGAGAAAACGGCTAGCCCTCCTCGACGCATTCATGGGCTACGTTGCGACCTTTCTGGTCCACGGACGCCAGCCGCGGGCAGCGGCATACAACACGCATCGGCGCGGCTACCCACATCCGCAGCAACGAATGAGGCGCGCCAAGGAGGACATAGTGCGGCCGACAGCTCTGTCCCCAGCAGCGACCGCAGCCCAGCTCCCATTGCCACGCCTAGTACCTCTGCCCATGACTTCGTCGGTGGCTTTGTCAGTCGCTCCGGCCTCCCGTCGCTTCTTCCACAACTACTTTGTCACACACATCCCTTCCTCGTCCCTCCACCCGGACTCTCGCCGCTTGACGGGCCCCCACCACAAGCTGCCGCGAGCTGCCTCAGTACCGCACACGCCTGAGCCCCCGGGCACCACTGCGCCACTGCCGGCCACGGCTGCCCCGACCACCATCTCGACAGCGTCGCCCGGTGACGGTGTTGCTGGCGGCAGCAGCAGCCTCGGCTTTGGTCGCGACATGACCGTCGTGCGCATCCCGTTGCGCAGTGCCAAACACCACTTTGGCGCGTCCAACGCCCGGGGCAGCCGGCCCTACAACGAAGACACGAACCAGGCGGGCACGATCGACATGCCTGCGTTTGCCAAGCGCGCTCCGGTCTCGCTCGTGCGCTCGGCCATCTCCAACAGCCGCAGCACGGGCGAAGGGATCACGGCCGATGGTGTTGGCGGCGACCCACAAATCTTCTATTTTGCCGTGTTCGATGGCCATGGCGGCAATGAGTGCTCGGATTTCTTGCGCGACGAGCTGCACGGCTACATTGAGGAGGCTGCTGTGGACTTTGGTCTCACAAGTACCCTTCGACGGAAAGCGCGACACGGGGCAGCTGCCGGGGCGCAAAGTTCTGTGGTAGAAAAGGAGTCCGACGATGAATCTGTCAGCAGCAGCAGCAGCAGCAGTGAGCAGCAGCCAGATGAGGACAATGCCACAAAGGCGACCAACCTGCAGCGGGAGCTTCTTCAGGAGTACCGCAGCACAGTAGGAGGTTACTTCCGGCGCTTCAAGCCAGCATGCTTTGCCGACGGCATCTCGCTGCCTTCGTCACGGGCGGCATCGGCCTCTTCCGCGTCGGCACCCATGTCGTCCTCGCCAACGCAACCGGTCACCATCGAGTCCGTCTTGACGTATGCCTTTTTACGGGCCGACCTCGACTTTGTCTCCGCCCAAGCGAGCAAACCCGACCCCGACGACCCCTACGTATCCGATTTTCCGCTCAACCAGGACGAAATCCTAGGCGCGCCGCATCACCGCACACCCTCGGGTCACGACATTGGCGGCCCCGTGCGCTTCAAGGGCGGCTCGACGGCGTCTGTTGCTCTCATATCCACGCCCACGCCCGCGCCCTTCTGGCACCCGGCCGCTCGCTCGACACTCATGGTCGCCCACGTCGGTGACACGCGCGTCCTGTTGTGCGAGACAGCCACCGGCGAGGTCCGGCCGCTCACGCGTGACCACCACCCGTCGTCACCTGTCGAGGCCCGCCGCCTGACCCGCTTTGCCGAGTCGCTCGTGACGGACTCCTTTGGCGAGGAGCGCATTTCCGGGCTGGCCAACAGCCGCGCGTTCGGCGACATGCAGTCCAAGCGCATTGGCGTGTCGGCAGAGCCCGAGATGGAGCGCGTGGACCTGGGCCCAGCGCAGTTTTCGTTCCTAGTACTCGTCTCGGACGGCGTGTCGGGCACGCTCAGCGACCAGGAGATTGTCGACGTCGTCAAGGAGGCACGCACGCCCGAGCAGGCCGCGCGCGCGGTGGTCGAGTACGCGACCGAAGTGTCGCAGGACGGCGACAATGCGACCTGCTTGGTAGTGCGCCTGGGCGGCTGGGAGCGGCGCAGTGAGGGTGGCTTGGGCTCGATGGGCACCAAGGAACTCCGGGATGCGCGACGCTCCGAGGCGAACGACCCGAGACGTGGACGAATGTAATATCGCTGGTTGACGTGGGGTTTTGGCGATTCGATCCTAATTGTGGCGATGTTTTGACTTGTTGTCTCAGCCGCATCGTCCACATATTTATATTCTTTTCCCACGCTGTACATATGTTTTGTCGTCTTTTCTGGCATCTTCTGCATTTTCTGGCATCATCGTTGCGTCGCATCATACGTTCATATAGCCAGCCACCTTGGCCCTTTGCATCCTAGCGTATTAAAACACATGCTCAACTAGATATACACGGCATCCAATTTTAACCTTTTCTCAAACATAAAGCACGCTTCCCTGGTCGGATTGACTTATACCAACATGGCCCCTTATGTCGTTGAATGATTCCCCCGCCCTTACTTAATACTGTCGCTGGTATGGCGGCTGGCCCCAACTACCAGGCGGACCTTGGCCGTACGAAGGCTGTCCATAGCCGGGCTGGCCACCATACTGGCCGGGCGGAGGCGGGCCGCCCTGGAAACCGTAGCCAGGTGGCGGTTGTCCGTAGTTACCGAACGCAGGACCGCCCTGAGGGCCGCCGCCGTAGTAGCCTTGCGGAGGCTGTTGCTGCTGGTTCTGCGGGTACTGGTAATACTGTGGAGGTGCTTGCTGCTGCTGGTAATGCTGAGGTGCCCCGCCGCCGCCTCCAGCCGCTTGCGGGTGAAGGTATGAGTCGGCAGCACCACCCGATGGAGGCTGTGTGGACGCCGCGCTGCTGCTGCCGCCGCCGCTGCCGCTGTTGCTGTAGCCGAACGCAGGCGAAGATTGCGATGCGGGACGATCTGGCGCTGGAGACGCAGACATGTAGTTGGTCGAAGCATTGCCATCGCGGCCGTCCATGGCATCCAGGTCGCGCGTCTTGAACTGCGAGAAGATGGCGTTGGCCACGGAGCTCGAGCCACCACCACCACCGCCAGTCAGGTTGCCCAGGTTGCCCAGGTTGGTCAGCTTGGAGAGGTTGGACCAGGTGCTGCCACCGCCACCGCTGCCATGCGAGTGTCCGCCGCCACCTCCCCCGCTGCCGTGCGAGTGTCCGCCACCACCCGGTGCGGTCTGGCCGTTTGCCAGCACATGGTTCTTGCCGTCCTTGACGGACTGAGACGACAGCAAGTGGTCCAGCTCGTGGCGACGCGGGTACTCGTTGGCCCAGCGGCGGACTGTCTCAAACATTTCACGCTGGATCTGGTTGCGCTCATCGCGGATGGCGGGATGGTGGAAGGCGTGCAGCACATCGTTGACGACCTCGTCGACGGGTACGCCGGTGTTGTCCCACGCGTAGAGGACACGCGGGACGGTGTACTGCAAGACGGTGGCAGCGACACGGCCGGCACACGAGTTGAGGACGTTGGTGAAGTGGTCTTTGGACAGCATCGAGTGCGTCGGGTTCGTGCAGTGGGGATCGGTCCAGGGCTCGAGCTGGGACCTGGCGCTGGCATTGATGACGCCCGACGAGCCGTCCTTGAGCACCTTGCTGACCTGGTTGATAATGGGGCGAATAAACGGGGCAAGAAGGCCAAGGACAAAGGCAGACAAGGTCTCGCTGATGTGCTCAATAAGCTTCTCGAGGCCCGGGATTTTGGAGATGGTGCGGTTGATGGCGCGGACAATCTTGTCGCGGAACTCCAAGATGGGGTAAATCTTGCGGGCGGTCTCGACCGGGTCAAAGGATGCGCTCATCCCCGGCACGATGTTCTGGTTCGTGCTGCCACCGGCCGTGGAAGACGATGACGGCTTGTCGCTGTTCGAGGGAGCAGCACCCAAGGAAGGCCCGTTGGGATCGACACCAGCGCGCTGGTTCTGGGCTTCCTGCTCGCGTGCCATCGTCTGGAGATGAGTGGCCTCCCGAGCAAACTCGCCGCCGACGCCAGGGAGCTGAGAAACCAGCGAAATAAAGTCGTTGCCGCCGCCGCCGCTGGACGGACCGAAGATGCCACGGCTGCCGTCGCCGCCGCCGCCGCCGCCGCCGCCACGGGACTGGTTCTCGGCGTTCTTGAGGGCAATGTCGACCTCGTCGACCTCGGACTGCGTAAAGTGATCTGTTGCCTCGCTATTTCGATATTCTGTCAGTATATTATACTACTGTCCCCCTCAACCCCCCTACCCCCCAAAATGTGGCAACGATAGGACAAACCCAAGAACAGAGTGGAGGAAATCCACGGCGCCAAACGTGCCGGTAACAATCGGGTAAACCCGCTTGCCACGCAAGTTGATCTCCGCGCTGGTGCCGCAGTGGGCAAACACCTGGTGGTGGCCGAGCTCGCGCAGGACCAGCTCGCAGTAGTTGCTGTGGGCGCTAAAGTCCTCCATGCAGTGCAGGGCCTGGCCGAGACACCGCAGAGCCTCGCACAAATCGGCCTCCTTGCCGGCAGCGCCATGGCCGCCATGCAGGTACAGACGGCCAAAGTGGATGCTGCGGGCAAAGCTGAAACGCAGGTAGCCGGCACTCGTCGCCCAGCCGCCGCGCTCGTTGGCAATGTAGTTCTTCATGCCGGTGTCCGTGTCGATCTCGAGCTCGCGGGGGTCGACGGGCCCCCGCAGACGCGGGTCAAACTTGCGGGCGTCCTCGCCGTCGGCGTAGCCAAGCGGGTTGTCAATGTGCTCCTCGGGGCGGTAGACGCCGAGACGCTCCTCGGTGACCTCAAACTCCTCGGTGGCGTAGCCAAAGGCCAAAAAGGACAGCACCCAGACGAGGATGCGGATTGTGGCGGCGTTGACGCCCTTGAGACTGCCCACATCGACGGCCTGGGAGTAGTCCCGCAGCCAGTTGCCAAAGTAGGTGCGCTGGACGAGCATGGTGGTCCATTTCTTGCCGTGCAGGAAGGCCAGCGTCTTGAGCATGTCCTCAATGTCGCCATGCCGCCAGTTGACGCCCTCTACCTGAGCAATCGACGGGATATTGCCGGCACCAAAAGCTGCCGCCTGGCCCGGCATCAGCGCCAGGAAGGCAAAGAGCAGGAGCACAGGGGCCCAGCCGGACGTCACACGTGCCATGTTTGCCAAATGGGCCGAATACCAAGAGTGGGATGCAGACGACTTGTTCAGATTGAAAATGTGTGCGGTGCAGTTTGTGCTTTGGAGGGGAGTTGTGACGCAAAAGATACAAATTTCCAAATCAGTGGTGGCTCGTGATGCAATGCACTTTAAGCTTATATGCAGGCAGGAGCTCGGGAGATGGTGAGGTCACAGGCTCGGCAGGAACGAAAGGAGGGGGGCTGTCGAGCTTCTACAGGAGGCCCCACGTTGGATGGGCAGGAGGGCTCCTGCCAAGAACAGCAGCTGAACAACATAGTTCTTTCTTGTTGACTTTCAGTTATCGCGATAAGAGGAAGGAGGCACCGACAGAAGCTAAAATAGGCGAGTGTAAGACTTTTTAGTGTGCCGAGGCGTGATTGGCCGTATTGGGGCCATTTGCCCCTCCAGTACTTGCGTCTGCACACAAGCTGTGTGGTGTCATATGTACCTCTTATCGGTCGCGTCGCGTTCGCGGTCAAGCCGGTCACGTGGGATGAACTTAAACTTTTTTTTTCTAGGCTCCATCGACTCTTTTGTTGTCTCTCTCGCGTCCTTTCTCTCCCTCCTCTCTCTCTTCTTTTTTCTTCTTTTCTCTCCCCCCCTCCCCTCTCCTCCTCCTCCTGGTCTACTCTCTTAAACGACAACGTCATTTTGAAACCCTGCATATTCCCGGCGATTCGGAATACGGAAAGCAGAAATACGAAACAAGAAGAAAAAGGAAACAGAAAAACAAAGGAAGCAAAAGAAATAAATATTTGGCCTGCCCCGCCTGCAGAGTTTGCAACCTTTGTTTTCTTCCCACCCATTTTTAAGAGAGAACCAGGGTACCGCCGGCACGATGAAGTACGTGCTGGTGTCAGGAGGTGAGTGACCAAGAGGACGGAGAGAGGGATCTCTGATGAGAGACAACGAGGACAACAAAATGCCGTAATGCATCGAGATGATGAGACGACGCCATGTGTGTCCCAGTAAACAGTGGCCGGCCTTGGTTCTGACATGTACAGGTGTGATCTCGGGCGTCGGCAAGGGCATTATCGCGTCCAGCACGGGCCTGCTGCTCAAGACCATGGGCCTGACGGTGACGAGCATCAAGATCGACCCGTACATGAACATTGACGCGGGCACGATGGCGCCGACGGAGCACGGCGAGGTGTACGTGACGGACGACGGCGGCGAGATGGACCTGGACATTGGGCACTACGAGCGCTACCTGCTGACGACGCTGACGCGCGACCACAACCTGACGACGGGCAAGATCTACCAGCAGGTGATTGAGCGCGAACGGCGCGGCGACTACCTGGGCAAGACGGTGCAGGTGGTGCCGCACCTGACCAACGCGATCCAGGACTGGATCGAGCGCGTGGCGCAGATCCCGGTCGACGAGTCGGGCCACAAGCCGGACGTGTGCGTGATTGAGCTGGGCGGCACGGTGGGCGACATTGAGAGCGCGCCGTTCATCCACGCCATGAGCCAGTTCCCGCGCCGCGTGGGCAAGGGCAACTTTATGCAGATCCACGTGTCGTACGTGCCGGTGATCCCGCCGGGCCCCAACGGCGAGCAAAAGACCAAGCCCACGCAGCGCGCCGTCGGCGACGTGCGCAGCGCGGGCCTGCGGCCGGACCTGATTGCGTGCCGCTGCGAGCGGCCGCTCGAGGACGCCGTGATCCAGAAGATTGCCAACATGTGCCAGGTCGAGACCAAGCAGGTGCTGACCGTGCACAACGTGTCCAGCACGTACCACGTGCCGCTGCTGCTGCGCCAGCAGAAGCTGCGCGAGAGCGTCAGCGCGCTGCTGGAGCTGGACGGCGCGGGCGCGCCGGCGCCGGCCAAGGCGCTGGTGGACAACGGCGCCAGGATGTGGCAGGAGTGGGTGTCGCGCACACGCGCGCAGGACGGCGGCAACCTCGACACGGTGACCATCTGCCTGGTGGGCAAGTACACGAACCTCGAGGACGCGTACATTAGCGTGGGCAAGTCGCTCGAGCACGCGGCCATGTACTGCAAGAAGAAGCTCCACCTCGTGTGGGTCGACTCGTCGAACCTCGAGGACACGGCGCTCGAGGAGCAGCCGGCCAAGTTCCACGAGGCCTGGCACGCCGTGTGCACGGCCGACGGCATCCTGGTGCCGGGTGGGTTCGGCGTGCGCGGCACGGAGGGCATGATCAAGGCGACGACGTGGGCGCGCACCAAGAACGTGCCCTTTTTGGGCGTGTGCCTGGGCATGCAGCTGGCCGTCATTGAGTTTGCGCGCAACGTGTGCAACATCCCCGGCGCGGGCAGCGAGGAGCTGCACCCTGGCTGCGAGAACCCCGTGATTGTCTACATGCCCGAGGTCGACCGCACGAAGCTGGGCGGCACCATGCGGCTGGGCAAGCGCGAGTGTGTGTTCCAGCCCGGCACGGCGGGCTGGTCCAAGTTCCGCGCCTTGTACGGCGACGACGTGGGCTCGATCCACGAGCGCCACCGGCACCGCTACGAGGTGTCGCCCGACAAGATGGAGGCGATTGAGAAGTCGGGCGAGTTTGTGTTTGTGGGCAAGGACGAGAAGGGCGAGCGCGTCGAGGTCATTGAGATCCGCAACCACCCCTTCTTTGTCGGCGTGCAGTTCCACCCAGAGTACCTCAGCCGCGTGCTGGCGCCGAGCAAGTCGTACCTGGGTTTCTTTGCCGCTGCGGCCGGTGTGCTCGACGAGGTCACGGCCTCGTCCAGCGGCAAGCCCTTTGTGGTGTCCAAGGACGTCGACGGTGTGTAAATAGCAAAGCGATGGTCCATGATCACGGCCAAGGTCAAGGCCAAGTAGGCGTGGGCCAAGATAGAGTGCATATATATTCGGGATAGAGCAATCTCATGTTTTGCAAATAATATTTGAAGAACCTTTTTTTTGGCAATTTCACACCGCATGTATTTGGAGTTAACTTATAAATTTTACAGCCAATCTTCCACGTCGTGATTCCCCAAACGGCTTCTGTGCGGCCAAAGGTGACGAAGTTGTGACACGTTTCTTCCAGGCGTCCCCTTCCATTCCTCCTGTCCCTAAGGAGGACGCCCTGCCCCTAAGGAGGACGCTTCTTGTCCTGTGGGTTGCTTCGTTTCGTGCGACACGCCTTCTTCGTATGACATTCCGCAGGTTGGAATAGGGCCAAGTAAAGAACAGAGCAAAATAAACGTGGCTGAGACTGACAACTATAGAATGTAATTGAGAAAAACAAAACATCTCCTGCCACAATCTGAGCAAAATTGCAATCAACTTCAATAACGAACAAAGTCAATATCTGCCGCAGACGTAGAGCCCCGTCATGTGGATAAATAGAAGACAAAATATACAGAATGAGTGCACAAGGGGACCAAGGTGAGCGAAGGAGGGGAGACGGACAGAGAGGAGTACAAAACATACAGCAAGAAATACCCAAGAAAGACGACAACAATTGCCGACCATGGGTTCGTAGGGGTTGTTGGCCAGCATGGCAAAGTAGTGCAAGCTTCTGTGTTATGCTTTTCGGTTGTACTTTTGTGATACTATAAAACGTCCATGAATAATGTTACTTTTCACGTTTATTTATTTTCCATCTATTTAATCTGATAACCAACTACTTAGCATTATGTTGACCACTCGCTTCTGGACCGGTCTGTCCTACTCCACTTTGTTCAGTCGGCAACAGCCTCTGTGAAATGGAGATCTATTGCATCAAATAAACTCTCCACATCGACGTGTCCCGCCATGTTCTGTTGTTACATTTGGACTCCTTTGCAGCCTCATCCAAGCTTGTCACTCCTGCAGCCCTTCCCCAGGACACAACCTTCGCATGGAGGCTCATCTGGACGTGTACATGTCCAACAGACAAACAACTGACAGCACAAACAGCATCGTCAACAGCGGCGACGCCATCTTCAGCGTAGAAATTATGTGCCACGAATTGGACACCTCTCAACGTTGCATCCAATCGTCCCATCACTCCTGCCACGCTCCTGAGGCTCTTTTGACCTTGCCTTGTTCTCCTCGCCAATGACAGACCGACTCATCCTCTTCACCGACGTCGCTGATGGGTAAAAGGATACTCGTCAACAAAGCGCTGCAGAGTTTGTCACGCCTGTCAGTCGGCCTTATTTTTCTGCCGTGCACCATTGCACATCTCGTCTTGTGTCTCTTTTGGCATGTTTCCACCGTTGACGGCAAGATATACTTTTGAGCCTCGTCTCATGTGTGCACGATACTCTGTTCGCTATCGGTTGCTTTTCAGGCATCAACAAAGACATGTTCACTTGCAGGTCGTCGGCCATGTTTCTGAGGGAACCTTGCGGCTCTTTAAAAGATTCTGTATAATACCAGCGTAGACGTAGGGATGGAGTCCGTTTACTGTTCAAAGCAAATCATATATCTAGACACAGACTGTTTTACCTTCTTTGTTCACGGTGAAATGTGAAGTTGTGGGTATTGTCGTTTGTTCTTGGCACTTGGGAGAGCTTCAACAAACTTTTGTATCCATATCCAGCCTCATAACGTTCCTGTCATCTACCCTACATCCATCACCCCCTTCATAATGTCGGACGTCGTTGGTTCCGAGCTGGCCCGGCACTACGCCAATCTGGCTGACGTGGCCGCCAGTCCGGCCAACAAGTACGGCCTCGCCCACGGCTACGCCATCATGCCCGACCCCAATGACCCGTACGGGTGGCAGGCCTTTGAGGAAGAGAGGGCGCGGCAAAAGTGTCTTGCCGGCCTGGCCCAGCACCCGTCGCAGTGCACCTCCACAACGGCCGCGACGACAACGTCGACGTGCGGGGACAGCGACGGTGACGACGAGGATGACAGCGAGAGCAGTGAGGACAGTCACAGCGGCGACGACGACGACGACGATAACGACGACAATGACAGTCATGAGTGCATATGTAAATGCGAAACAAAGACGAAGGAAAAGTGCAGCGGCGCATGGTGCAAGCGTCAGTCGCTGAGCTTTCAGCGGTCGAAGCCGCACTGGTGCGACGGCAAGAAATGGGGCGGCAAGATCTGGGGGCTGAGCCGTACGCCGGGAGATGTAAGTCACCGTGATAGTTTTGCTAGCTTTGCTAGCTTTGTTTCGTTCCCCAGCTTATCTGGCGCTAACTTTCCAGAGACGTGTGTCCAACTGGCTCCTGTACTTTGATCCCAAGGTCAGCAAGTCCGAGATCCAGGCCATCTGCCGGCGACGCTGTCCACCGGAGCCGCGCCGCCGCCGTGGGCACCGAGGTCATCATCGTCGACGACGTGGCCAGTGTCGTCATGGTCGCAGTCACTGCTGTGTAAAGACGAAGATTGTCGTCTGCGGTGCCTGTCAGGGCATCGGCTGCGTGTACTGCCAGAACGGTGGAGTGCTCGTGCCCATCGACTATGACTGCACAGGCGACGTAGGGTACGGAGCAGGGTACGGGACAGGGTACGGGACGGGCTACATTGGCGACTACACTGGCTCTGGGGGCCATGGCTATTATGGGGCTGGTGGTCTTCCTGGTATGCCGCCGCATCGTGGCTACGCAGGTCACCCTGCCGGCAATTTAGAGCACTGGCGTGTGCACTCGGACAAGGACAGTAAGAAAAAGGAAAAGGAAAAGGAAAAGGACAAGGATACGGACAAAGACGGAAGCAAAACGGGAAGCAAAAAGGGAAGCAAAGCTGGGAGCAAAGATGGCACCGATGCAAAGGGAAATACCATGGCTGAGCTCGCTGGCCGAATGCAGACCATGAAGCGCAACGAAAAGGGATTTTGGGGCGGCGACTGGGAGAAGGCAGCCGACGGCTTGTTGGGCATTACCGAGAGGGACCTGCGGGTGTTGGAGAAGGGCTACCAGCCCAAGGACAAGGACGGAAAATGTGCCGGAGACGACGCAGCCAAGTGGCTGTGGGGACGGTTTGGCAATGTGGGAGGGCTAGAAGGAGGAGGAGGAGGAGGGGGGGGCGGTGGCGCCAAAGGCGGTGGTGTGTTTTACGGCCGCGGGTACAGAGGCGGTGGCAGCAAGTATACTGGAGGCGGCGGCGGAGGCGGAGGTGGAGGTGGAGGTGGAGGTGGAGAAGGCGGGACTCTCGGACAAGGCGGTGCCGAAGGAGGCAGCCGCAAGGCCAGGAGTGTCAACGGAAGCGGAAATGGCCGTGCTGATGAAGAAAGTACCTCGGCAACTGGACAGAGAGACAGCGGAGGCGACGGGCCTAGCAATGTTTCTGCAAGAGACACTCGCAGTACCAGCCGCCAAGATAGCCAGGGAAGCAGACAGAGCAAGGGAAAAGAAAAGGAGACGGCTGGCATTGGTGACGGGGACCTGGACGCTGCTGTGGCAAGCGCCAGTGCAAGCCACGACCCACCGAGTCGTCACTCACCGCGCCAGCACGCATCCGGCCAGCATACCACCCCTCCCCAGGCCAAGGGCGCAACCGCCAACGACGAAGAACGCCAGTCTCGCTTCGAACGTCTGCGCCAGCGCCTCGACGATGCCGGCCGGCTCCGCACGGGGTCGTGGGAGCGGGTCTCGCCGGCCGTGCAGCACGAGCGCGAGTGGCAGCGGCAGCAGGCGATGAAGGAGGAGTGGCAAAAGATACAGGCCGAAGAGCGTCGTTCCGGCCGCAGGGGTCGTGAGGAAGCCAACGGTAGCAGTACCGGCGGCGGCAACAGCCCCTTGCTGTGCGTCGAAGAAGACGACCACGAGCGGGTCATCCTGAACCAGCTGCTTATGTCGGACGAGGGCAGCTCACGCCGCAACCACAGCCCCCCGTCGCCGGCCGAGTTCGTGACGCGCGTCGACGGTGCACAGTACCCATTGCATCCGGAGCATCTGGCAACGCTTGCTCGGCATCGAGGCGTCTCGGACACTGTGTCGTATGTCAGTCTCGCCAGCACTGCCTCGGCGCCAGCACCAACGCGCTCACCTCCGGCTCAGAGCATGTACGGCGCACACTCAACCAGCGGCGACACGGGCTATGAGACGGGCCACGACACAGGCGAAGCCGGCCCGACCGGCGACGCGAATGCAAGCGTCTTTGCCGGCCGATTCAGCGATCCAGGATATGGCTCTCTGTATGACATTCCAGGATATGTCGACTATGCTGGATACCCCAACTCTTCTGGCTATGCAGGATGGGGGCCCGAGTGCGCCGACAACGCGGCCTGGGGTGGAGTGTCGTCGTCGTCGACGACGTTGCAGCCGTCGAGTGGGCGGACGAGCAGCAAGAAGAGCATGTCCGACGGGACGAGAGAGGTGAAGAGAGGAGGAAAAGAAAAGGGGAGAACTCAAAAGGGGTCGAAAGGGGGTGAGGATAAAGACGATGCTAAAAAGGGAAGGAAGAAGGTCAAGGGAAAGGGGAAGGCGAACAGTAGGAAGGAGCCGACAAGCGCGAAGGACAGGAAAAGGAAGGAGAAAGAAAAGACAGAGAAGAAGAAGAAGAACGACGGAAAGAGCGAGTCGCCGTCATCGTGGACGACATGTTCATCGTCACGTGGTTCGAATTCCCATTAGGTGAAGGACGGTGGTGCATTGTGATGTTGTTGTTTCGATGTCCAGCGCTCCATTCGGTACTGACTTGGCTGCTGCTCTGACAAATTTCCTAGTTTAATGTTGTACACGCAGCACCAGTTTACGTCGCAGCTGCAAGTGGTTCCAATCTGCGGTCAAATTCACAAGTCTCCATTCACAGTTCGCCATTATGAGGTCACTCTCGCTCTCAATTAAAGCAGTGGACAAGGCCCAAGACACTGCCGCGCCGGTTGACTCACATGGCAGGTCGGTGCCATTAAAATCTCCAAAAACGTGGCAGTGCTGCGGGCGGCAATATGGTCGAACAGAGAGGTTGTTTGTGGTTGACGTGTTGGCGCTTTTAGGCCCAGGAGGGGCTTATCGATAAGAGCAGCCAACGTCCCAAACCTAAACGACACTCCCGGCGCCAACACGACGGCCTCAATATTGCTTCGCCTCGCCTCTTGACAAAGCAACGTTCCACGGTCGACTGTTGTGGGCGTATAAAAGTCCCTGCGTTCGTTTTGCCTCTGCTCTCGCTCGGTATCGCCAAACTGAGGACTGCATTCTTTCTCGACACACCGCGGCTGCAGTCGACTTTGACATCATCGTCTCGTCGCTCCGTCCAAAGCTTCGCATTCGTTTCGTGGCAACGGACACCTCGGCATCGCCCGCCTCACAGTCCATACCTCGAGCTGCAATGGCAGACCGCAAGGAGGAGTTTCTGCGCCGGCCGCTGTACATGTTCGGTTTGCCGGCCGACGTCCTGTCTACACTTGCGCCCGTCCCCAAAGACCGCACAATTGGCGTCGCAGCCCTGTCGTACTCGTCAACACCGGGCCGGTCCAACACGCCAGGGCTCAGCGAAGCAACGGATGCAGCGTCTGACGTTGGTAGCGACGTCACCGTATCCGGCGAGGCCTGCGCACTCTGCAACCTGGCGTTTGCGTCCCACGCCGACAAGCGCGACCACTTCAAGTCCGATCTGCATCTCTTCAACCTCAAGCAGAAGCTGGCCGGCAAGCCACCCGTGTCGGAAGACGAGTTTGAGCGCCTAGTCGGCACGCTCGACGAGAGTATATCGGGCTCCGAATGGTCCGAGTCGGACTCATTGTCGGATCTAGAGGAGGAGGAGGACGGCGACAACGACGAGAACGACACAAAGAGCGTAGCTGGCTCCGTCGGCTCGACCACGACGACCACGAGCACAAACACCAATGTTCTGGCCTCGCTGCTCAAAAAGCAGGCTGTCCTCGCCGAGAAGAAGAAGAAGCGCCGGTCACAACGAAACGACGACGGCGACAGCGGGTCGGACGCCGGCGGCACGACGCCGGTCAGCCAGCCCAAGACCCACAAGCAACGCCAGCGAGAGGCCGCTACGGCGGCATCCTTGCACGCGCTGATCTGGTTCAGTTCGCCCCTGCTGCCCGCCAACAGCTACTTTGGCGTCTACCGGGCGATGTTCACGGCCGAGGAACTGTCGCCGCCCGCCGACCCGGCGACGGGCCATGTGCCCGCAGAGGAGGACGAGGTCGAGCGGTCAGCGCGGCTCCTCAAGGCCGTCCACTCGCGCCAGCTCCCTCCCATGCAACCGCCGCCCAACAACGCCGCCGCCGATAAGGCCGCTGTGACCTACGCGGGGCGTCACGTCTTCATGTGCATGCTCGGCGGCGGGCACGTCGCCGCCATGGTCGTGGCGCTGGCCCCGCGCAAGGCCAAGGCGGGCACCGTGCCCATGAACCGCGAGGCCACGGTGCTCGCCCACAAGACGTTCCACCGCTACACGACGCGCCGCAAGCAGGGCGGCAGCCAGTCGGCCAACGACGCGTCCAAGGGCGCCGCCCACTCGGCGGGCTCCACGCTGCGCCGGTACAACGAGAAGTCGCTCGTCGAGGACGTGCGCGCGCTGCTGCGCGACTGGAAGCCGCTGCTGGACTCGGCCGACCTGCTGTTTGTGCGCGCCTCGGGCACCGCCAACCAGCGCACCCTCTTTGGGCCCTACGAGGGCCAGGTCCTGCAGCGCAACGACCCGCGCCTGCGCAGCTTCCCCTTCAACACGCGCCGGCCGACGCAGAAGGAGGTGATGCGCTGCTTCATCGAGCTGACGCGTCTCAAGGTGCGGGAGATTGTGCCGGGCGGCGGCGAGGACACCGGCAGCGGTGGTGACAGCGGCACGCAGGCTGTGCCTCCGCCGGCGGCCGCACTGACGGCCGAGCAGCGCCTGCAGCGCCAGCAAGAGCGGCGCGAGGCGGCGAAGCGTGCCGAGGCGGAGGAGACGGCGCTCATGCACACGACCCAGCTGCAGGCCCTCGCCCGCCGCTCCAAGGTGCCCGCGCTGCTGGCCTACCTCAAGGCCCACGGCCTGGAGGCCGCCACCTACCGCTTCGCGCCGCCCGGCGCCGCCCAGCACCACCACGCGCCCACCTTGCTGCACTACGCGGCCTCACAGAACGCGCCCGCGCTTGTGAGTGCGCTCCTGCTGCGTGCCGACGCCGACCCGACCGTGACGAACGGCGACGGCAAGACGCCCTTTGAGCTGGCCGGTGACCGCCCCACACGCGACGCCTTCCGCGTGGCCCGCGGCGAGTTGTCGTCTGCGTCCAAACCGATTGACTGGGACGCCGCGCGTGTCCCCTCGGCCATGACACGCGCCGAAGCCGACGAGCGCGAGTCCCGTGAAAAGGCCGAGGCTGCCCGCAAAGAGACGGAGCGGCGGCGCGCCGAGGAGACGCGTCTGAAGGAAGAGGCGGCTGCGGAAAAGGCTGCGTCGGCCAACAGCGGCGGTGGTGGTAGTAAACGCCTCGTCGGCGTGCTCAAGTCGGCCCAGGAGATTCGCGAAGAGGAGGCACGCGGCCTGACGCCCGAGCAGCGGCAGCGGCTGGAGCGCGAACGACGGGCACGTGCTGCTGAGGCACGCCTGCGACAGATGCAGCAGGGAAAGTAATGGGGGGTTGTGTAGCATTTCATTTGTTTCCATGTTCTGGTTTGGTGGTTTATGGCAAATGGTTTATAGAGAGATGGTTTTGGATACGTGATCCAAACAGGCGTTATGGAATGAGAAGCATATGTGATTTTGTTCCCATAGCTAACTGATAGACTCTTTAAATCTGAATTATTAATTTCTCAGGAGTGCTTCGAAATTGTTTTTGTTTACTATAATTTATGCTCTCTGTTTAATGATTATTTACATGGTATTGTTTGCTGGGTACGAACAAAAACTCTCATATAATTATCATGACTTTCAACGTAAAACATCCGAGACGAAAACAAAATACAACAGAAATACAGATATAAAAGAAATGAAAGCAAATGCTAAATACAATTACATTATATCACTCCCAGCCATGATGCCCTCACACGAGACATGCAGCTTAAATATCACCACGGTAAGCACATCCCTCCGTCCCAAAGGACCTTGAAAGATTAACATAGTAGGATGATTTCGATACAGTGAAAACACGCCAAAGGTAAACCAAACCACATTAAACCAAACCACATCCACACCAACGTAGGCACATATTTCCTGTCACAACCAACAAGGGGCCAAGCATCACCATTGACCCATCAACTGCATCGCCCCATGTCCTTTGCATGCGGCCATGGCCGACTGGTCTCTCTGACTTGCCGTTCTCTCTGCACGGGAAGGCTATGTTCATCTCTTTCTCGTCGATTCTTCGTCTCTACGATGACCCATCTATCGGCCTCCCTTTTTGTTCATCCTCGTCCCCGAGTGCCCTCCTCTAGGCCGAAAGACCAAGGGCTGAAAAAGGGAAGAGTTTTCTTTTGAACAAACACAAAAACAACAACACGAAATGCACCGAGACCGTCTTCCTTGGTCAACAAGGATCCCTGCTTGCGAACCATCTAGAAGCTGCGGTCTCCCAAATATATGCGCACACCCTCCAACATATGGCGTAGCCATTGAGGATTGCAAGAAACTGAGCCCATCCTGGTAGAACCTTGCAAGGAAAGACTACGTCGTAGGGATAGCATGGTCGAGTTGTGGTCACCGCAGTTCACCACCCCCTATTCCTTTGGCGATGGCCTGGGCTGAGCAGAGTCGCACAAGTCACGACGAGGTACCACGGACTTCCTTGTTTTTTTTTTTTTTCTTTCTTTTTTTCTTTTTCTTTTGTCGGTTTCCCATGCCAAGGAAAACGTGCCTTGCAAGACAAGAATACGAGCTCGGCCTGGCTGCCGAACTGTAATGCAGACGTACCACTGCTCTCCCGCCTCCTTTCCTCTTATCCTCCCAAAGTCATGCACCCCGGCACACCTTTGCCTTCTACACAGCCACCACAGAGCATTTCCAATGACGCTGTTTAGACCCGGCTGTTAATTTCCACCATTGCAGCATTTTTGTACTCTGACCTTCGCTTGGACCGTGATCCCATTTCAAGGTTTTCTTTGTTCTTGGTTCAGCTTTACCGGCCAGCTACATGCCTTTCGCAGCTTTTCCCGCAATATTCGCCGAGCACTACAAGCAAATCTCCTATTTCTTTTTTATTTTATTTCATAATTTATTTCCTGGGTATGTTCGTATTGTCTTATTGTCACACCGCGACCACTAGCAAAGAAAGACGCAACAACCGTTTCAGAGTCTGACTTCTCATTCTAGTTTAGTCAATGAACTCCGTATCCGCTCCGAGGCATACTGGCCAATTCACGCGGAGAGGCTGTTTCCTCCTCGCCACCACACATACTTTATCTGTACGAGATAGGGGTGGTCCGCTCTTTCTTTTCGCCTGTCCCAGTTGCTCCTGCACGCAAATGCCAATGTGCCGTACTGGGACCGAAAACAGGATACCTGGGAGATACTTGGGTCGTTATCTCGTCACTACGTTTCGGCTTACACCTGTTCCTCAGCAATCGACTTACATTGTACTTACGCTGCAGTATTTTCAGCATGACCTCACCAGCTGCGGGCCTCTCCTCAAAGACAGCGTTGTGTGTGGAGGATGAAAGGACCGGCGTGCTTCAGGTTTCCTCGATCCCTCCTTGTCCACAACCTGGATGAAAAAGACCTTGATTTTGATGGTGGGACGTTATTGGATTCACGCACCGCCGTCCGAGTTGCCATGAACCCGAGATTCCACTGTTGTAGTAGGGAGTCTGGCTTCTGGAAGAAGGAAGCTAGCTGAAGAACTAACCAACCCGCGCACCGGAAACTCAGCTCCCTACAGGGAGGTATCTTTCTGGACGCTCGCAGTTGCCTCTGGTCATCTGTAAAACGGTCCGAGGAGTGGAGGAGTGGAGGAGTGCCGGAGACACCGCAGCCTCGGTATATGGGACTTGTCGGCGCCGGCTCAATCTCAGAACCGGGGGACCCTGCTGTTCGAGAAGGCTTTGGGCGCGCGCCAAAGTATGTTTCAAGTAAAAAAACGACGCCGGCCGTAGAAAGTACTCCGTAGTCGCCTGCAAGAAGCCCTAACGGTTCAGAGATGGCGTCTCGAAAAGGAGGAAAAAAAGTGCAAAGCGAGGTGGGGAACCAGAGCAATGGGTGAGACTTTTTGCTTCCAAGACAAAACTGCCAAAAGTGGGCGAGACAGACGCACCAGCTTCTAAACTCGCTGTATGAAAAAGATGAACAGAGACCAAGAACAAATGAAAACGTTTCTTTTCTCGACCGTCATCTCGTGTACCGTGAATGGCGTGGCGGTCGAGGGTAAAAGAGGTACCACTGGGTCTTTGAATATTATGATGCCGGCAGGCTGGTCCGGAGCATGTTTGCGCGTCCGCAGTGTGAGTAGGATCAAAGGAAAACAGACAAGCATCTCATTGCTTCAGACACTTGGAACCACCATCGCGTAGACGGCGCCCTTTGGCCGGGACCGCTCTTGTTTTAATTTCCGTACCTCTGTTCGTTTTGTCGACAGTCACTGTACCTAGGCGCCGCGGAGGTCTGGCACCCCTGGGATCAAGTCGAGACGAATCGAGTAAAACGATAACGGTTGTGTAAACACAGAAATGGTAAATGCGAAGAAACGGCGTGACGAACCAAGCGCAAAAGGAAATCAAATAAACGTTTAATTTTGCGGATTGTGTTCCGAAATAACGGTGATTTCAACTCTGCTCGCCCTCGGCGACCACTTGGTTTAGTTGCGTCTCGAAAGAAGCAATCAATAAAAAAGACGACTAGTATTTGCGGTCGTGATTGAAACTGGCAAGGCGAAAAACGAAGCTGGGATTGGGAAAACAACAGCGGTTAGCCTCGACCAAACAAGGAAACAAGCCATTAAGCTCAACTAGCTTTTGTCGCCGTTGGCATTGGCGCTGGCGTTGGCTCAGGGGCAACTTCCTGAAGAGGGCATCGTAGGGTGGATGCGGCCAGACTTGGAGAAGCTTATGGTGGTACGGAGTATTTCGTACTTGACATTGAAATAAAGAATCCCCCATGACCACAAAAATGATCGACAGGGCGAACTTCCCGATGAGGGTAAAGGCAAGCTGGAGCGTCGTTTGGGCATCCGTTTTGATGCGTTCTCGCTTGAAGTTCGATCTTGCTTTGGGACACACTTGGGGACCTTGCTTTACCATTTTACTCAGTATGGCCAACAGGACCTGTTCTGAGGTTGACACCTAGGTCTGTTGGTTTCGTTTCGGGACCACTGGCTCTTTCTCTGCCCATGGAGTATTCCCAGCATCCGACACATCCGCTGCGTCCTCTGGAGGGGTGTCCGCCTCCGCCGACCTCAGCATTGACACATCCATCAAATGACAACGACTCCTGAACAAGACCGTATTCAGGTATCGCACGCCGTACCGTACAGGCTGATACATTGTACTGGCGGGTCGGGCAATGGTGGCGACAACGTGCTGAATTCAATCAAGATAAAATTGTCAATGAGACAACGGACCACTGAGCGGACGGGCTTTTGTGTGGTAACTCGAATGCAATGAAGTAATTACTGCGAGGACAAATTTTCTTGAAGGGTTTGCAAGTTGTGTCTGCATGGGAAATTTGTTTTGGCTTGGCATTGATGCAGAGCCGACTACGGGCATGGTTAAGTTGCCTTGCGAGATCTCAATTGTGATCCAGTCGCATTTATTAAAAGACCTGCCTGGCAGTGCAGGCGCTGCAAAAGGTGACCAAAGAGGAGAGCTTTGCACTTTTCCAAGTGCAAGATTGTACGACGTAATTACCAGGAGAACCGAGTCCGCTGAGCGTTGCTACCGTTGCATTTTGGAAAGAGAGCCGAGCGAAAGCACACAGCAACGAAGCAGAGAAGCAGAGAAGGAAAGAACCAACCAGAAAAACCAACAAATAGGACATAGCAAAACGGCACAGTTCAACCGGCCAAAGCACACAAAGACGGCCGAAACGAGCTCACGGTCGCGGTTAGAGTGGCCGTATTCGTTCAGTGCGCAGCGCCATTTCGGGTGCAAGTGGTCGTCGACTTGGCTGGGCGTGCGGTCACAGTGTCACAGTATATGTGAATTTTGGGTTTGCGTAATATAGGTTGCAAACGGAGGGTTCAGTGGCCAGGCCATTGATAGTGGGAGCTCGGGCCTGGTAGCAGCGGAGGTCGGTAGAGTGTGTTCGTGACTGAGCACTATCAAAGAGTGCCATTTGTTCGGTCATTCGGCTGCATTTGGCCATATCGAGGTTGCGGATAGCAGCAATTTGCAGGACTCGGCCACTTTTGTGTTTCCCCTCGGCAACTGTCGTTAATTGAAATAGTCAGTTTGGCACATTTGAGGGACGATGTGTACTGTGTAGGTTGTACTGTGTGTCGTTAAGTAAACACGAGTGACAAAAAGAGGAGATGAAGGAGATGAGCAAGGGGCCGTCGAAACGACAGGAAAAGGAAAAGGCGCGAAACACAAAAGCGGCGCGATGGGCATCTAAAATCCAAAAATAAACAGTGCCCGCGTGAAGCCGCGGGTTTAAGTGGGAACGATGGAGTGCAAGGTGATGCAAACGAAAGGCTGAAGTAAAGAGAG